GAGAGAGAGAGAGAGAGAGAGAGAGAGAAAGAGAGAGAAAGAGAGAGAGAGAGAGAAGGAGTGGTGAGGTGAGGATGGGGCTTACAGTGCCTTCATTTTCTGTTTTGCCCCTCGCAGATTTTTGTGTTTAATGTGTTCGAGATGGAAACGGCAGATACGTCCCTCTTAGACAGGTATAACACAAACAAGTACGCTTATGCTTACGTCAAACGTGCCTTTAAAAAGTCAGAGACAATTAGATTATACACGCGCCTGTTACGCTATGCTTAGGCTCTTCTCCTTGAGAGCCAGAAGACATGTGTTCGATTCTCGCATAAGTATTGGAGTGTACAGGTTTGACGCCCCAAGCAACACTATAAGCCGAAGTAACTTCTGTCTCCGATATATAACATAGTCAGATGGAGTGGGTGGTTGGCGGGTGCTCTGGTGTGGTTTGCTTTTTCTTTCCTATCAAACATCTATCATCCTTTTCTCCCCTTCTTCTGTTTATATTTGTTACTCTCTTGTAACACCTCTAATCTGCTGGCGCTTATATGACCTTATGCAGTTGCGCGCGCCCGTAAAATCTCTACTAAAACTAAGAAATAGTCAAATGGGTTGAGAGACTGGAAAATTTCACCAAACGACCCGAGTTCTAGAACACCCAGTCTGGGATTCAAAACCGCAGAGCCATCGACTCCGCAGTCCAGCATGATACATGGATCAGCTGATCTGACACCTTGACCTTGATCATGAATGATTTATTTATAGAGGCACCAGCCATCCATGTCCAGGTGCTGTTTTAGCCTCTTTTTCCTGTCTGCGGATTAATATTCTTTTTTTTCCCCCAATTTATTGGTTTCGTTTCCATGAACCCCGTATACTTGGTTCTCAAACCTGGAAATCGCCTATAATTTGTTGTTATTGCCCACCTCCCTGCACATGTGACCACACCAATCGAGGAAGATGCAGACCGGCGCGAACCTCGTGGAAGTATGTCCAGTGGGCGGAGTCAAGTGGAGAGTCGGCTGATTGACCTAGACACACGGACCTTGGTGCACCATGACGTCAGCAGGGAGATGTACGACATCGTGGAAGAGTGAGTCGTTTCTCATTTGGTTTTGGTTTTTTCTAGCTGTGAGTTTCCCCACCTCCATTCCCACCCCACCCCTCCAATCAAGCGCACAAACAAAGCAAAGCACCTCTTTCCCTCACTAAATCACGATATGTTATTCCTTTCTCACTTTC